CGCCTTTCATGCTTTCCATTTCTTACTTGCTTTCCCTAACTTTTGCCTGGACAAATTCCTTTTGAATTTGACTCTAAAGTCCAGCGGCATGCCCTGACATTTGCCTAAGCGACTTGTTTTTCAAGTTTCAACTTAGCATGTTTTTTTTGTCTCTTTCTTTCATCATTTCCTATTCATTTCATTTTTCATTTTTTATATTACCATTTCTTTCCTTTTGAACACGTCGCGTGACTTCGAGTCATTTTTGACTTGTTGGAAGAATGGTGACTGCCTTATTTCTTGGTAGATGAGGGATAATCATTATTGTATCATCATCTGCTGACCTCCTGATATGCGAGAGATACCCATTGGGATATCTTCAATTGGCGCACACTCCTGATAAGTGAAGTTTAGCCATTGCAGTATGGACTTTCTTCGGCCTTTTGATGGATAACCATTATTTTATCCTTAGATGCGCACTCATGATGAGTTCTGAATGCTCGATCAAATTAACTGAACACTACCATGCCTCGGGTTAAAAATGAGGGTTTTTTTATGAATAAAAAAGAAATTCCTACTTCAAGGCTCAAAGGGGTTAACAAGGGTTTCACTTCCTTATATCTCCGGTGTTTGGGAATTTGAAACAATGCATGTACATCATCAACCGAGCTTTATCCAAAAGCATACAACCATAAATTTTGCGTTTTAAATTCATCATCCTTCCTCCAATCTCTGCCTAGGAAAGAGAATGGGTAACAAGTTGTTATCACAATGCAAAAAGAAATTTAAAATTGAAAACAAATATGAGTGAAACAAATGAGTTTCTTCAAGATAAACATATTCACTGTATTAAGATAATCATTCAAATTCAAACAAGTTCTTACATGCAAACAGTGCAATGATAAACAAGAAAAATTACAAATGAGAAATCAGTAAAATTGCTAGTAAACTGAGAATGCTAATCATCCTTAAACTCTAGGGTATCCTTCAATCATGTTTATTCTTTGGTAAAGACTTGACTTGAACCTCAAGAAAAATATCCTTAAATGACAAGATACCACTTCTGACCAATTTCTGGACTTCAACTTTTAATGGATAAAAATGTTTGATACTATGCCCAGGGGCTCCCCGATGAAAGGCACAAGTCAAATCAGCTTTGTAGTACTAAGGAATCTTCTCAGGAATCTTCGGTGGAGGTCAGGTTTGAACCAAATTCCTCTGCATCAAGACAAGAAACAACTCTATATAGATCATTGGAATTGGATCAAACTGGGTTTTCTTCTGATTAGGAACTTGCTTATTCTGTTGACAAACTGGAGCAACATGAGGTAAATTAAACACATGGATGGAAAAAGAAACATGTTAATTCTCACAATGATTGTTTCTTCCTCTGGTTCTCTTCTTAGAAAAGTTATTATAAAACTTCTTCATACAACTAGCTAAGCCACCATCTTCAGATAAACATCCCTTTTAGACATCCTCTTCTAGAAGAACTCTCACATTCACCTTTTCAGGGAAATCACTGGGTGCACTGACTATCACCTTCTCATGAAAGAATGATTTCATAGTTTTTGTGAAGACCTTTGACATCTCTTCTTCCTTCCTAGAAGGATTTACTTGGGCGTAAACCAAAGTTTTAACCAAAGCAGTTAGATACTCCATACCAGCTTTCAAAGTAGTTACCTCTTTATGGAGTTCAAAGATCTCTTGCTTTATATTTTCCATCTTCTCTTAGCACAAGTGTTATATTGACGAGACAACTTGTTTCTGAAGACCAAAGGACCTTGAGTAAGACTTCCAGGAAACTCATGAAATGCAAAATTAAATTCAAAATGATGCATGACATGCAATACAAATGCCATGTTCTCGTTTCCAATAGCTTATGCATTTTGATTCTTATTATTAAGCCATGGTATTATTTTATTTACAATATTCATCTTTTTGTGGCTTAACAATTAGGATCAAAGGAATGATACTCGGAAACAAAGTAACGTGTATGCTAATAATTACAAGCTGTGTATGCAACCATGTGTTATCAAAGCTTCCACAATGTTGGATAGCTGCTGAGCTGATAACAGAACCACGGTCACATGTAATAAGATCAAAGGTCTGGACCAATTCAGAATACCAAAGAAACAAAGTCACCAACATAACATAGTCACCATCTATACCTGTAAAGATTATTCCCTCCCTACTCACGGGTAAAGACTAAGTCAGGGTAAAGTCAATGGTAACCCAGAATCACGGGTTCACTTGAGAGTACTATCATCGTAGACCTACATGATAATGATAGCACCTCATTAAAACCTCATCTGAGCGTGGACGACACAACCGTCTAGGGTAATCTACATCCCATATTTGTCGTGTTCCAATATATTCCTAGTGTTCCTATTGTTTGTCACTTGGCCTGGGTATTGGGCCTTTTACCTCAATAGTAACATCCCACCCAACCTTAAAAACCAACAAATCAAGTACAAAAACAATAACCAATATATGGAAAATGATAAAATGCAATGCATACATATGCTCAAATATATACAAATGAATAAACTGTAAAGCATAAAGATAAACATCTAAAGAAAAACAAGAGTTAGGAGTGACTCACGGGATGAACCAGCAATTGGTCAATATATTCCCAGTGAAGTCGCTTGTTTTCTGTAGCGGTAAAATCAATGAAGTCTCAATCGGGTATTTATTTATCCCACGTAAAGGGAAGGGAGAATCATTAAATAAAAAGCTGAATGGAGAAATTAAGGTCTTGTAATCGAGAGATCGGGTACAGGAGTCGATTATGCAAGAGGAAGGTATTAGCACCTCTCACGTCTATAGTACTCCACGGGATCCACTCTTGTTGTTATAATAAAAGGGTGTAATCAATATAATTCTTAATAGATAAAATAAAAATGAAAAGAGGGAATGCATGCAAAGAAAACACAAAGAAGAGAAATAAATATTTACAAATTTTCGCTCAGCTGAGCCCCGTGACCAGATGCCTATGTATCCCTTTTAAGGAATCAGAGTGTTATAGTTCGGCTCACAAATTTCCGTTTGCTTGTATTTTTTAAATGAACAGTGTTAAATTCAATTATTCCACCAGCGCTGGACCATTGGAGACTCACGCACTGTAGTTGAAAGGAATCAACACGTTCTTAGAAGAGAAAAGCTGAATGGCGAAAAGAAATGAATTAGTTGGTATTTTTTTACCATGAAAAGGATTTTTGTATGGTTAGCATGTTTTATACATTTTACAAGAAAAAGAAGTTTTAGTTTTAAATGAAATTATGCAAAATGGGAAGAAAACACCTAAGGGGGACTAACCTATCTCTAATCCTAATATTATCATATAATGATGGTTCTATGGTCTGGATTAACAAGAGGTAAATAATATCTAATCCTAATGTTAGCATACAGGGTTTAGAAACCTAATGTTATCTCGAACACTAACCTAAAAGAGGCGAGAAAACCCTAAGGGAACATGGTATATTTAAAGGCAGCAAACAAACAATGATGCACATACATGGCGAGAGTAATGCATCTCAAACAATCTCAAACAAAGGGGCACATACATGGCTAGAGTAGTGCACGCTAGCTCAAGCAAAATTTACTAACCAAGATATCGAAGATCGAGGTAGGAAACATGGGGGAACAAGAGAAATGTTTTAGCCAAGGGGAGGGAATCACCCGAAATAAACAAGCAGGAATGGGGTAAAATAAAAAGAAGAGAAATGCTTTAGCCAAAGGGAGCGCATCACCCAAGGCAAACAAGCCGAAATAGGATGAAAAAAGGAAAATGTGATATCCAAAGCGACTAGGCACCTAACAAAGATATAAAAGATCAAGGTAGAAGATAAAAGGCAATATGAACAAGCACGAAGTGTCAGCATCGATCAATGCAAACTCCTGACAAAATATGGGGGTTGGATTGCAAAACCTTTTTCCATCTGACCGACTCGATACACATGAGTAGCAAAACTCCAAAGCATTATGGTGCATCACGAGTTAAGGATGACACAGACTGAATGCGCGGGGTTGATTGCTAACCCTTTTCGCTCGCCTCCTTTTGAGGACTTCAATAAGGGATGGGGTAATAGATGCCTACTTCAAAGGTAGGATTTTAAACAAACACAAATAACATACAGAAAGTAGTGCCTGCTACAAGACTTTAAACAATAACTTCAAGCGCACACGCTTTATTTCCTACTTCTCATGATAGTTAGAAAGCAGTAAAGTGCTTAAATGAGATAAACAAGAGAAAATACCAAACAAATATCAATTTGTAGCAAAGCGATCAATAACAAAGAAACTTGGAATACTTCGTGCAAGCTAGCATCAACAAGAGAGGAAGGATAAGAAAAATATCCAATGAGAATCCAACGTCATAACATGAAAATAAATTGCAAGCATAGAAATATTGTTAAGTCAAAGTCCCCGCACAAGGTAAGTTTATACAACAAGACTATATCTGAATAATTCGCATCGAGTGATAAAGTAGCTTCCAAACTTGCACAAATTTGCAAAGGAGTTAGCAAATAACAAGGAAACTTGAGTTAAACTCCAACATTGAATTACAATTCAAAAAACGATATTGAATAACAATCAAAGAAATATCCACAATCATTTACAACATTAAACTCAAAAGATTAAGGAAACTAATAGTAAGAAACTTAATTAATTCCTAAAACTCAAAACAATTCTAACGTTCTACTGATTGTTGTTGTTTATAACATCAATATTTTCTATTAACAAAGTCCAAGAAAAGAAAATTGTTAGAACAATCTAAAATCAATAGAGGAGGTGTAAAACGAAAATTCAAGAGTGTGACCAACAGGAGACTTAGGCGCTCAGCCCAATTAAACCAGTCCACTAAGCCCTTTTTTTCTAAACTCTCCTAGACTTAACAAAAAACATATGATGGACTTAGAGAGCACAATTTTAGAGGCCTAGGTCCGATTTCCCCTTTTTTAAGCAGATTATATTTAATCTTCATTATTAATAAAACAAACAAATTAAATTTAAAAAAAATGAAAGAGGAATTTAGGGTTAAGATGTGGCTCCTCATCTTCTCAATTGTCTTCGCCGTGAACAACGAACACCCGCCGCCGTTTAACTCCGCTCGGCCTCTCTCAATCTCTCACCTTCGCCCAGACTTCTCCTTCCATCGCCCGCTTCTGATTTCCCCCTTCAAACGATTCGGTATACCAACAAGATTTCCTCATCTCTATCACAACCTTCGCCTTCATCCATCGCGGTCTCGTTCGCGATTCAATCCTCTGTAAATGCTTTGTTTTCCTGCTTCCTCTCATCATCTTTGATTCACATAAACAGAGATACGATACAACAAAAGAGTATCGGGGATTACTTGCCGGAAAATGTTGTGATGCGCCTTCAACCGAAGGTGTTGAAAGGGAACCAGAAAAAGATCTACAACAAAAATTCAGTACGAAATCTTCTTCTCCTCATTTATGTGTTCTATCGCGAATCATAGTGTGATGACGTGTTGGAGCAGATATTTGAGATTGAAGATGATACTGATGATGCAACAACTCTTTTGTATAAGATGGTGAAAGGCCAGGATTGATGATGAAACTGTGAGGTTAATGATCGAAGATTGGGGCGATATTGTAGTGATGAAGAAGAATCAATGACAATCTCGAATCAATGTCATTGCAGTTTTAGAGGGAGAGAAGAATACATAGATATGAGAGAATTTCTCTTGAAGATTATTTCTCTGATTTTCTAGTAAGTTTCTCCTACTTTTTTGTGAGTTTTTCTTGTGTAGAATAAAAACCTCTCGTGAAGTTTTTGTCCCTCCTCTTCTCAAATGAATCTCCGAATTTCTATTATGAGTTAGTTAGGAACCTGTTGCAGTTGGTTATTTTTGTTGGGAGCTGAAGCTTGGGTTTTTGGGTGAGCTTTGGTCTTGTTCACTTGAGGGAAGCAGAGGTTTTGTTGATTCGATCTTTAAGCATCGCTTAACATTTCTTGTTAATTACAGAGCCACTGCCATGTCCCAATCTTTGTTCAACCCATGAGGTTGCTGCCCATAGCCTTTGTTTGTGATGACACGAGCTTATTCTGACTTGATGCAGGTTTTTATGGCTGGGTATGATATCGAGCATATGGCACTATGTTGGAAGCTAGCTTTGATGTCACAAAGTTGCAGTTTTCTTTTGTAGCGTCATTTTCATCTCAATAACGTAACATGGTGTAATGGTTGAGAATGTAATGAATCTTCCAACTTTTATAGCTTTGTTAATTTGCATTGCATTTTGAAACTTTTAACATGACATTGTATCGGAAACTTTGAATGCAGTGAACTTTGTTTCGTGATGAGGACCTTGAATTTTCAATTTTCGAAGAATGCCATTTGAATGAAAACTTGATAAACTTTGAATAATGTGAACATGTATAAATTTGAATGATCTTAAAGGGATTTTGATTTTTTTGAATTAAATTCGATATCTTGAATGAGGCCTTGTAATTCGAATCTCACGCTTTGTACTTGTTGTTTGTATTTCGAACAAAACACATGAGTGATTCTATCTTTTGAATTGATTCTTGAGAAAATTGAAATGAATTTGAACTAACAATTTTGTATTCCACACAAACCATAATCATGAGTTCTCTCGAACCAACCTCAAAAGAAATACTTCACCCTAATGAACTCATTCCCTAATTTAATCTTCAAATCCAAGTTAGCTCGCAAACAATCAAGAAATTGAAAAGTTAACAAGGTCTTGATCATAAAGAATCCTCAAACTTCTACCATGTTGTATACTCGCTCTTTAATCAACAAAATATCTTGCTGAAAACCCCAAAGCCACACTTAATTATTTGGCAAGTCTCACCACAAGAAGAGAACCATGATTCAATCTTCTAGACTTCTTGAAAAGAAATGACTCATATAGCAAGTAATTAAGGGAAACTCTACATGATTGATGAACTTGCAATAAAGAAAGAACGATGGTCCTTGGTGGCCTTGAGGAGAAACTGATCTCAACGAACCATTTTGAATAACCAACACTAATGTCCAAGCACCTTCATAGGAGAACCCGCCTAACTTTCTGGATCTTGAGTGCATATTTATGGAGAAGGCTTGAGATGTGGAGAGAAGTAAAACTCTAGCTCAAGTAAATCTTAAAGCACATGTTCCTTGAAGAAAATTCTGATGAAGAAACCCTGTATCTTGAGGAATCTTGCCAAGGAAGACGTCCACAGTGCTTGTGGTCCAAGACCCTAACTTCATACCAAGAATGATGAGAGAACCAGTTGAATTACCTCTATAGAGGTAATAACCCCAATCCACAAGAGAAAAACATGATGCCAAGAACCCTTCAATCCCATATCCTTAGAAGCTCAAATTAGTGAATGGTTTAGGATGTTAGTACATATGATGTTATGAATAAGCATGTTAGGGGTAAAAATTGGGGTATAACAGAACGCCATATCTGCATATAAGATTTTGCTTGATGAACCGAGTAACCTCTTGTCTTCTCACATTTTCATAGGATGCAACTTCCACCCACTTGGTGAAGTAATCGATGGAAACTAGTATGAACCAGTGTCCGTTAGAGGTTTTGGTTCAATCATTCCTATCATATCAATTCCCCACATTGAGAATGGCCAAGGAGAACTTAGGACATTCAAAGGAGTCGGTGGAACATGCATTTTGTCAGCATAGATTTGGCATTTGTGACATGTCTTTGTGTAATGGTAGCAATCAACTTCCATTGTCAACCAATATCAGCTTCCATAACATGTCCATTTGTATGAGTTCTAAAGGTGCCTTCATGGGTTTCTCTCATAAGTGTATTTGCTTCATGTTTCTCCACACACCCGAGTAATACCATATCATAGTTTCTTTTCTATAACACGTCACCATTGAGAAAGAACTTTGAAGCTAGCTTTCGCATAGTTCGTTTGTCAATCACATTGGCATTTTATGGATATTCTTGTTTCTCGAGATACCTTTTGATGTCATAGAATCAAGGCTTGTTATATGGTCCTTCTTCAATGGCAAAGCAATGTGCGGGTTCTTCAAAATGCCTAATTGTAATGCGTGGTTCGTGATTTGGCCAGGCCACGTTAAACATGGCTGATAAAGTTGTCAAGGCGTCTGCCATCTGATTTTATTCTCGTGGAATATGACTGAATGTAATCTCAATAAATTCCATATCTATCTTTCAAACATGATCCAAATATGTAATTAACTTGGGATGTTTAGTGTCCCATTCACCATTGAATTGATATATGACTAATCGTGAATCTCCATATATACTTATAGGTATTTAGTTCTTAGATCGATAGTATCTTCTAGACCCAAGATACAAGCATCGTATTTTTCAATATTATTGGTGCAGTCAAAATATAACCTTGCAGTATAAGGTTTGTGAAAATTCTCCGGGGAAGTCAAAACTGCTCCAATACCATGCCCTAGTGCATTTGAATCCCCGTCAAACATGAGTGTCCAACATGCCCCTGGTTCAGGTCCTTTGTTGAGTCCTAGTATCTTCGTCTAGAAAGTCGAACTTCATTGGTTGATATTCTTGCAACGACTGGTGAGCTAGATGATCGGCTAGTACACTACCCTTGATGGCCTTTTCAGTAACATACTGGATGTCGTACCTAGATAATAACATACGCCATCGGGCGATCCTTCCTGTAAGAGTTAGTTTTTAGAATACATACTTCAAAGGATCCATTCTTGCTATTAACCATGTGGTGTGAGTTGACATATATTGCCTTAATCATTTAGTAGCCCAAGTCAAAGCACAACAAGTCTTCTCGAGAAGTGAGTACCTTGTTTGCAGTCAGTGAATTTCTTGCTGAGATAATAGATTGTATGCTCTTTTCTACCTGTTTCATCATGTTGTCCTAACACACATCCCATTGACCCTTCAAGCATTGTTAAGTACATGATGAGCGGTCTTCCAAAAACTGGTGGCATCAAGATTGGTGGCTCTTGTAAATATTGCTTTATTATCTCAGAGGCTATCTGACAATCGTCATTCCACTCTACTGTTTGATCTTTTTGAAGTAATTTGAATATAGGCTTGCAAGTAGCAGTTAGGTGCGATATGAACCTCGAAATGTAATTCGATCGTCCTAAGAAACCACAAACCTCTTTTTCTATCCTTGGAGTTGGAATTTATTGTATGGCCTTCACCTTATTGGTATCTATCTCAATACCATGTTGACTTATAATAAAACCCAATAACTTTCCTGATTTGACACCAAATGTACACTTGTTCAGATTCAACCTCAGTTTGAATTTTCGCGGACGCTCGAATAACTTTTGTAAATGTATGATGTGGTCCTCCTCTGTATGAGATTTGGTAATCATGTCATCTACGTATACCTTAACTTCTTTGTGGATCATATCATGAAATAGTGTGACCATAGCTCATTGATAAGTTACCCATGAGTTTGTTAGACCGAAAGGCATTACCTTGTAGCAGAAAGTTCCCCACGGAGTCATGCAAGTAGTCTTTTCTGTATCCTCGGGTACCATTTTGATCTGATTATAACGTGAGAAATCGTCCATGAATGAGAACACCAAAGGTTGAGCTGTATTATCCACCAAGATATCTATGTGAGGTAACAGGAAATCATCTTTGGGGCTTGCTTTATGCATGTCCCAATAATCTATACACATGCGTACTTTGTCGTCCTTATTGGGTATTGGTACGATGTTAGCTATCCAAGGTGGATAGTCTACCACCACTAAGAATCATGCATCAAATTGTTTGACGACTTATTCTCAAATCTTGCTAGACATATCTGGACGAGTTCTTCTGAGCTTATGTCTAATTGGAAAGCAACCTTCCTTGAGAGGTAGTCTATGCACCACAATATTTGTATCCAATCCTAGAATATCAATGTAAGACCAGGAAAATATATCTACATACTCATGTAACAACTTGATCAGTCTTTCTTTGACGCTTTCCTCCAATGTTTCCCCTAGCTTGATCTCTTTGGGATCCTCCTTTGTGCCAAGGTTGATGGTCTCAATGGCCTCTTGGTATGATTGTATATTGGTAGCCTTTTGTTCCAATTCCCTCGCTAATTATTCAGAGAGTTCAAGATCTTCATCATCTTCCTCTTTCTCTTGGTTGATGGGTGCATCAAAATTATATCGGATAGCACCAGTAACGTTATCAGTGATTTTTCGCATGGATATGCACATTTTATCATGTTTTGGTGCAGTTTTAGTATGTGAATTTGGAAAATGCATATGAAGAAAAGTATTTCCATTTTCAAAATATAAGAGATCAAT